GTGTGTGTGTGTGTGTCTGCGTGTGTGTGTGGACACATGCTTAGAGAGGGAAACTCTTTCTTTTGAAGTGTCTTCACATAATTATTCACAGACTAATGAAACAATATTGGAATTTATTGTGAGTGATGTAAATCATTCATTTCAGTTCATTCTTGACATCCACTGACTGGTTTCTCAGAAGTGATATTAGACTGCGCCATGTTTTTGTGAAATCAACTCTGCATCTACAGAAGCTGTAAAATATGAAATAGACTCGAGCGCTACCGGACTTCTTCCAGCTATTAAACACTCCAAAATGAACTATTTTGTAAATGCTACATATAAAGAAATGGGACAATCATTTCTACCTCTAATCAGTATGTTGTAACATCACCAGTGTCAATTACAAGTGTGTTATTAGATCAGAATCCTATTTACGCCACTCTCTTTGGTACAACAACTTAATAACATGATAAATACAGTGCGGTGAATAAGTATTGAGCAGGAAAGGAGGAAGATTTTCTCGTCATTTATTAAAGTGGTCTTGGTCTATAGTTCTCCAGGTCTTTTGAAGATTTTTTTTTAAAGGATTTTTTAGGACATTGACTGTCCAGTCAAATGTATGTGACCATTTGCAAAGGAATGTTCTTGTTTGTTATGCCACTTAACACTAACCTATAAATCATTCAAGCATAAAAAGGCAACAAACTAATGGTATGCATGAGTGTTGTCTAAACATGAATGGACTAATTTTAAATTGTATTTTTAGCCTCTTTGTTGCTAATAGCCTTTTGTTCCAGTATCTTTAGTTGAATCTACAAAAATGCCATTGATAGAAGAGTTCAATAGGCATGAAATAGTATTTTTACACCAACAAGGTAATTCCCAAAGAAATATTAGCCAAAATTGTCGCATAAATCAGCACGTTTTGCAGTGTGTCCTTACATTTTGAGGAAACTGGACAAGTGGAAAGCATCTTATTGGCAGCAGCTTCATTTTTGAGCTCAAACACAACACCAATCCATGTCTGGATGGAAAAACATATGGGGGACCCTATCAGTCATGGATTGGCCTCCCCAGAGACCAGACGCCCACGTTATCGATGCAGTGTGGGATCATCTGGACAGAAAACAGAGAAAACATCCAAAGAACAGCTTTGAATGCCTGGAGAACTATACCTAGATACTACACAAAGAGTTGATTGACAAGCCCATTATAATAAATGATAGGCAAAGCCACCAAAGATAAATTATAGGATAAGTTCTAATTGTCTAAACTTGTTGCAAAAGTTATGTAAGCGATTCTGTTAGTAATACAGTTGCACTGATTATCAGTTCAATGAGTTTAGGTTCATTTAATGACCTCTTATTGAGACCAAGGTCTCTTTTATGGGATGCATCATAATAAGATGATCACACATTTACCCAGATGACCTTAATTACTCACAGTATGACAGGATATGGTAACGTCTTCACAACTTGGCTCGTGACTATAAGGACTCACCGAATGACTGTCAAGACATGCTCCAAGGTGGCAACCCCACTAGGGGTTAGACACCCAAGTTTATCTTTCAGAACTGAAGAAGCCTTTTGGGTTTTGTGAACCTAAAAAGCAGTCCATTTCCCCTTCATGTGTCTTAGGGAGATTAGAGATAAAACTTTATTAATCCCTCAGGTGGGTTCCTCTGGGAAATTCGGTTTCCAAATAGCACAGCACCGACAGAAGTTACAGACTGTGAGCAGAATACTATATATACACATATATAAATAAAGAGTATACAAACTGGATAAATAACATAAATAGGAATAAGAATACAAGGGAATTGCACATTTCAATTATTGAAGTCTATTGCACCGTTGAATATTAGCAAAAAGTATTGCACAGTGAAGTGAAAAGGCACTACAGCTACTTGTTCCCCCCTCCTCTGTCCCCGTTTCCCCTCCAGAGAGGAGTTAAACAGTTTGATGGCGTGTGGGACAAAGGAGTTTTTAAGTCTGTTGGTTCTTGTCTTTGGGAGAAGCAACCTGTCACTGAACAGACTCCTCTGGTTGTTTATGGCCGTGTGCAGAGGATGCCCAGCATTGTCCATAATGTCCAGAAATTTTTTTTAGTGTCCTTTTCTCTGCCACTGTCACCAGAGTGTCCAGCTTCATGCCGACCACAGAGCCAGCCTTCCTGATCAGTTTTTCCAGCCTGGATGAGTCCTCCTTTGCTGTGTTGCTCCCCCAGCACACCATAGCATAGAAAAGTACTCCAGCACCCACCGACTGATAAAACATCCTCAGGAGCTTCCTGCAGATGTTAAAAGACCTCAGCCTCCCGAGGAAGTACAGTCGGCTTTGGGCTTTTTTATACAGGTGCTCTGTGTTGGATGACCAGTCCACCCACAGCCCGAGGTACTTGTACTTGTTGACCACCTCCACCTCCTCTCCCTATTAGTATTTACCAGACTATAACAATACACAACCGAGAGCATTAGTTATTGGCAAAACATGGCACTTTGACAGTGAACCAGGCATCTTTGTATTTTTTAAAAGCTATTTCGATAGTTGAATACTAATTGTTTACTGACATGACATTTAAATGACATGACAAATGAAGTTTAGAATACCAGGAATGCTAAAAAAAAACCAAAACAGCATTGATAGGATGCCCAGAGGCTCCACATTGAGAGTGTGAAACAGTGCCCTCTACAATGAAATGGGATGTCTTTATAAGATGATAGCTGCTTTTCTTTTTTATTTTATTCTTCACTGTTGTCCTACATCTCCCTGCTTTCTCTAACATCTTCATTCAATTAGCATCAGTGGGCTTTAAGTGCCTTGTGTGCGCCAGTGCTTAATGAGATTGTTAGCTCAGTTATGCAGATGTGTGTGCGCGAGTGTGGGAGAGAGGCGATAGTGAGAATGAGGAGTATGTGTGTGTGCGTACTTGTTTGCATGTGTGTCAGTGGATATAAGCTTTTTTCCACATCAGGCTGCTTGTTTAAACCACGACGGATGCAATGTGAGGCATCAATTGAGATATGCGATTATAAAGCGATTGTACATGTCATAGACTGGTGCCCCGTGGGCTGTGCGTGGAAACAAACTGATGTGTAGCAGAGACATTTATTGTTCAGATGGGATGAAGTGCAGGCCACAAACCATGCAGCCAGTGCCAGATGTTGATCTGTGCAAATGGCAAGGCAGGCTGCCTATGCAAGCACATTCATATGCAAAGAGCGATTCGAGCAGACTCCAGAGATATGCACACACATATTGTAGGTTAACCTTTTACATTTGTGTTTGTCTCTCAATTTTTTTCTTCCAGGAGAAGGCCATATGAGGATAGGGCAGCATCACGACCCGTGTCTTCCAGTCCACTGAGACAATCACCCAGACAAGTTACAAGAATGGTTAGTTCATCGCTATTCTTCAGAATTTCTAATCGCTCCTCTGGATTTCCCCGGCATGTTTGTGTTACGATTCAGCAATTAGATTTATAGGTCCCTGCGTGGTAGCGTTGATGAGACATGAAATATTAACAGCAACCAGGCTGCTGTTGCCAATACAAACAGCAGACCCAACGTTTTGCTTTCTTCTTTAATGTTGACCAATTTGGGAATTCCTAAACTCATTTCCACATGAAGTCGGAGGAAAATCCCTGTGCCCGCAAGTTTCTGTTTCACAAAAATGACGATAATGTCTTCACAGCTGACACACATAATGTGTGCAGCTTAAAATAGCTTTACAACTTCTTCTTTATGATTGTAGTTTTGTTTTTTAAAAAAGGTGTTCCTTCACTTCTTTATCAGGTTGCAGTTTGTGGTGCTGTCCGCTGTTATTGCATTTGTTATGATCCATGATTGTGAGCCATTATTTACATGTTTGAATCCTCCCACTGGGGTATATCCATGTGCTTTTTTTTCTCTCTCTCCTCCCTCCAAGGTGTGTGAAAACTAGGGGATGCAAAACACATTGCACTGAGAGACATTGTCAATATTGTGTTCTGGTTTATTGATAGTCTTGAGCTACCCTTCATCTCCCTATAAAGTGGTAAATAGGTGCAGTGATTTATTGATGTGGAAAGAATACATGGAATTATATAAGGATATAAACCAAAACAATGCTTGTAAAGGAGGTTTAAAGCCAATACTTGATATGACCACCTTTATTCTTCAACACACCCTGAACTCTCTTAGGAAAGCTTTCTTATAATTTCCTTAAGTAGTGTTCAGGAATAGTTCTCCAGGTTTCTTGAAGGACATTCAAAGCTCCTCTTTGGATGTTTGCTCTGTTTTCTGTCAAAATCATCCCACACGGTCTGGGCTCTGGTGGAGGCGAATCCATGACTGATAGTGACCTATATATGCTTTCACACACTGACAGTTGTTTGGAACCATTGTCGTACTGAGAAATTAAGCCAGTGTCAATCAGCCTCACAGCAAGGAGGTCCTGAGTTGGATTCCACCACCTGGCTGGGTCTTTTATGTATGGAGTTTGCATGATCTGCCTATGTTTACGTGGGTTAGTGAGGTTAGGTTCATTCTAAATTGCCCATAGATGTGAATGTGGGTGTGAATCTGAGTGAGATGGTTGTTTGTTTCTATGTGTTCCGGGGACGAAAAGGATGAGCGGAAGACAACGGATGGATGGACTGCACACTATGCTGAGATATGCCACGTTTTCAGCTAATAGTGTGGGAATCTGTGGGAATCATCTTGTTTGTGCAAAAATACTATTTTATACTTATGTTATCTTTCCATTTTTCATATATTCAAATAAAGAAATAGGAACAAATTTTTGGTGTTTACATCAGACTGTCAATAAAGAGGCCAAAGTTACAGTTTAATCTATGGGGTCAAATTTGACCCCATGGGTTCTCCAGGGTTAAAAATTGGTTATTTTCATGTCTTCATGTGCAGACATAACACTGGTTCGTCTATTAAGTTAGCTACTTTTTTTGGTTAATGATTCATAGGCCAGTTAAGTGGCTTAACAAACAAATAAAAACACTGCTGTGAAAATGGTCAGGTATAACTGGAATGAAAATTAATGAAAAAGAAGCCAATGTCCAAAGAAGAACTTTGAAAGGCCTTTAAAAAGCCTGGAGAACTATTGCTCAAGACCACTAACAAAAATGACATGAAAGTCTGACCTCTAGGAATCAAAATATTTAAAAAAATGAGTGGTGCCTCAAGATGTTTGCACAGTACTGTATTTAAAAGTAATGCTTTGAATTTATGGTGCAATTCTGAGAATGTAGCACGCTGTTTTGAACAGCCGGTGGCCTGCATACCCAGCATTCCTAGATATCGAAATGTTTGTTTGAGGGCGAGGCTCTGGAACCTTAATGCCTTTTTAATCAGAAAGGGCATTTAATCCCAAGCTATTCCATTCTGCGATTTCTTTGCATCAGTGCAGTTCTGCTGAGGTACACCCAAGGTCCACACTCCACGAGATCTTAATCAAATTCAACAACATATCTCCTTTCCCTATCACTCTCTCAACTTTATTAGATATTTCCCCCATTTCAACCTTGCTGCCCAACCTCGACTAGAGTAAACTGATCTTGTATCAACAAAGGCCCCTGCAAGCATTCAACTTATCCTGCATAAAATAAATCCGGCGCCCCGTCGTAAAACAAAAGGCTGGAGAAAAACAAGAATGACAGGCAGCCGAGCTGCACATATGCCCCTCTTGCGGAATTTACTGTGTGACGGAAATGATGTGGAACTGCCAAACATCTGGAGCGCTGTATGTGAGAGGGAGGAGAGCGAGGGAGCAAAGGGTGGAGAAATGGAGATAACAAGGGAGTAGAGGGTTGTTAGTTAAACACATGTGGGTGCACTGTGTATCTGTAAGCTTTTAAAGAGCCCTTTTGTTGTTGCCAAGAGAGAAATTACATTGTGTCAGCAGGCAGTGATAACCTCCATCACCCCCTGTTCCTCTGGCCAAACTGCCAATCAGAGCGCTGTCAGAAAACATATCAACCATCTTAACTTCCATTTTATTCCTGCTGTTGATACCCTTCTTTTTTATCCCACCCTTGTCCCCCCCCCCCTCAGGTGGATGGGGAGCCAAACCACATGTCTCCCGATGACAGTGACCTGGAGGCTCGTCTCAACAGCTGGAACCTGGGGGTGAGTCCAGGGGCATGCCATGAGCTTCTTTGTTACATGCAGCTGTCAAACGTGCTGTTGCTCGCCACAGTGACAGCAGTGAGTCTGAGCACCTAAGTACATCCGCATCAGTAGTGCAGTGACGCAGAGTTAACAGCACCGTTCGAACAAAGGGTTGAGAGGCCTTTCACCTGTTCTCTTGAAAACACTTCCTTTAGGCAGTTTGGCGCTATTGTAGGATGTCAGGGTAGGACGGGGAGCGAGAGAAAGGTTGTGTAAACTGAGAAATTGAAGATGCGTGAATCATTCTTATCTTCTCTATCTGAGTGCATCAGGCCTGGGCTTGATAAGCCCCCTGCCCTCATATGTTCCTATCTCCTCACCTGCATGACCCTTCGACTGTCTTTTTTTTTCTTCTTCTTCGGTTTTTTTTGTTTTGTTTTCTTTAACATGCTTGTTACCTTTGACTTTCTCCACTAATATTTTGGCAAAATCTCCCCTTTCTGTTTTCCGACTTTTTGCATGTTTCTCCAATCCACTGTCCTCTCCGTCTGTCTGTGACTACCTCCCCTGTATTCCCCCTCTCTCTTTCGGTACAGGGGTAATCTGAGGCATCCATCAGCCGACGTGAAGCCGCGCACCACACTGCTCTGCTTTCCTCTGTGTTGAAACGCTGATAAGAGGCATTGCTTGGCAACCCTCCCCCTAGCCTGCATCTTTCAAATCAACAGATGTTCCTTCACACACAAATACACACGGGCCCCGCTCAAGTTTATAGAAGTTTTTATAGATGCGCTGCCTCAAAGTGCCCGACGCCTATGAAATTTCAGCACAGCTGAGCATCATTTTATCTGGAACATCTTTAGCGTCTCTTTAGATGTTCTGAAGCAGTCCATATCGATTTGTTGTTCATTGCACCCTAATGTAATAAAGTGCGTGCAGTCAGCATTGGTAACATGGTAACCGGACAGTGGATAACAAATTGCTTCAGACTTGGAAAGCTGGACACAAAACCTGAGTCAGCTGGACCTCCATCTGTTTTAACTTTCATGTGGTTTGTGTGTTAGAGCAGCTAGTTTTATGTAAAATGGGAGTTTTGCTACCTTAGAGATGGGTGCAATATGCACTGGACTACCTGTAGGCAGAAGTTTTTTAAACTTGTGTCACATGTAATACAGTTGTTCAGTTGTTGCCCCTACCACTTGGCTGTCTGTGGTTAAAAGGGCTGTGCCGACGACTTGCTCAACACCAGTCCAAAACTAGGAAGCTATCAATCATGGCCTCTCTTTTGGCTGGAGAGCCATCCCTTGCGATTTGGAGTGTTGTTCCTCTTGTGCGTCCGTCCATCCATCCACGTCAGGATTCAATGACACAGGACGCCGTGCCAGCTGCGAGGCTGGACAAACATATGCTTAGAGGAGTGTGTGTGTGTGTGGGCGGGCGGGCATGCAGGGCAAGAGTATGTGCACAGGCATACATGTGCATGGAGTCCAAGTTTAGCATTGCACCATGCCAGCATTACACCACAGCATTTAGTCTGCATGTCTTCCTCGCCCTGTGGGCCGTGCTCAATCATATGTGATGACTGGCTGTCTGTAGATATAAAAAGAAAATCCCATTCTTGTTTTCAGTCTGGGCACTAGTTTAGAAGAATATCGATTGATTCATCACTTGGCGAATGTGGATTTGTTTTCTGGCCTTCGCCAGACTTAAGTAGCAATTCATCACACATCATTGCACCCACCACCGCAGCGCTGGTTATTTTTTATTTATTTTTTTATAGCGCTGGTTATGACGAGCGGTCTAACTCGGATGTTTCCTTTTGTTGAGGGCTTGCAGTGAAATGTATGACCTGTTTTTACCTGCGTGTAGACTTAGCAGGGAGCCACAGTTACTCACCCTAAAGCAAAGATTTTGTCTTTATCCTCATACTGTAACTGTAAACGCTTGAGGCCCAAACTCTGAGGTTTTTTCAGGTCCTGTTTTCTCCCATTCATTCTGGATTAGCTTTGCGTGGGCCGTGCCACCTTACGGCATTAAATTCCCCCCACCCCCACCCCCTTTTTTTTTTTTTACATTGAATGAGTCCCACACTTCCCTCCTCTTCCTTCTCTTCCTCCTTGTTCTCCTCCTTCATTGCTATGTTGAAGAGATTAGCAACAGAACTGTTTACTGGGCGTCATTGCTGTCATCTCTAGAGTCGGCTCTGCTGCTTTGAAAAGCCGTGATCTTGCTGCTAGTTGGCAGCCCCTACAGACAGCCCCAGTGCATCAGAGCGAAACGCTGTATGATAGTGCGAGTTCACAAGAAAGTAATGGGGTCATAAACAAATGTCAAATAGTGCAAGCAAAAACAGCAGGCTGTCAAGCAGCAGATATTTTTGCAGTTTGTGTCACAGTTAGTGAGGTGTATTGATGTAACACTGCAGAGAGACATGGACCGTGACCCGCTTACTTTCAGGTGGTTTAGCGGCTTGCTCTTTTTCAGTCTACTGTGTTTCATATTGTAATCAAAGAATACGCTGTGTCAGTGTTTTGGCAGCGATGTGTACACATTTGTCTCAGCGTGACAGTAAATGGACCAGGGATAGCTTGGAGATTAGCGGTCCTGAGTGTTGACAAAAGGGACAGCAGAAAGAGGCCAAGAGCGGAAACAGAGCTCGCCACACACACAAAGCCTTGAAGTGTCCCGACGCATTCTGCCTTTCTAAACAGACACAAGTTGACGGAAGAGGCTTCAGCCATAGCACTGGGCTTTTGATGTGCTCCCCACATTGTTTATGGCAGACTTAGGGTGGAGGTAGTGGTAAGGCTTTGTTAAGAGAGGAAGGAGCCAAAGAGAGGTCTAAAGTTTTTCTGTTTACTCTTTCAGATTGAGAAGCCAAGGTATTTGCGAGAGGAACCCGTTCCCTTGTCACCAGTAAGTTGTCAGGGGGACTCTTGTACTTTATTTATTGTTACGTGAAGAAAATTGTCTTTGATTTCCTGAGTCTTCTCATTTCCACATCTCTCTTTACTATATCTCCTTAGATTTTCAAGTCAAGCTTTGGGGGGAAGAGTAACTTGGCCAGTGATCAGGGTGCACAACTGTTACAGAGCAAAGAGGTATGAACCAGAATGAGAGAAATTTACATACTTTATATACATATATACATACTTTATGCAGTCACTGGCCACTTGGTTTGGTCCATCAGTTCAATCATTATAGGGATGGAAACATGGTCAAGATGACCTGCTAATGTTCAAACCGAGCATCAGAATGGGATAGAAAGGTAATTTCAGTGAATGTGTCATGGTTGTTAGTGGCAGATGGGCTGGTGTGAGTATTTCAGAAACTGCTGATCTACTGGGATTTTTCCCAAACAACCGTCTCTAGGGTTTAAGAGAAGGTAAATCAAATAACCACTCGTTACAACCAGGGAAGGAGACATTCAAAGGGACGGGACAGAATCTGCTGTAAACAGCATGTAAGCATGACTCCATCCTGCCTAGTAGAGCAGGGCGATATGACCAAAAATATTTATCACGATATACATTTGAAAATTTGCGATAACAATATAACTGACGATATAATTGACACTAGACAAAATACTTTACAACTCCACAACTTTATTAGTGCAAAAAAAACCCCATCAATGTATTTTCACTTAAACAAGCAGCTTTTTTAAGTGCATTAAAGTTATATAAAAATGTAACAGTGCAAATTCCTTGCTGACAGTTTAACCAAAAGGCATTTCCAGTGGAAATTGGCCGACATATCCTCAGCATAATCATGTATAATATCCACAAAACATAAAAAGAGGTTATACACACACAATACCGTAATATTATGTTGAAGCGCAGTACGTATCACTCAGCGAGGCTCCTGCCTACGATAGCCGTAATGCTCCAACAATCCATCAAGCGGTGTGGCTTCGTAGCTTAGTAAAGTCGTACTAAAACATTTGACAGATTTTTGAGCACCGTGTACCACATAAAATCGTTTCGAGGTCAGTAAACACAACCAGAATTTATACATAAGGCACACGGGATTATAAAGGGCACTGTCGATTTTCAGAAAAATCAAAGGATTGATTTTAAGTGTGCCGTATTTTCCAAACAACACGGTAATAACGACGGCCCGCTAGCATGCTCTACCAAAAATAGTACTTTGTTGTGTATCTGACGGACGAAAGCCAAACCAGTTCCACACCACTGAAGTTGCAGCATTTTTACGAACGATCCGCTTTCGCTCTTCTCATTCTGCGTCGCCGCCATGTGCGTATGTAAACATAGGCACTGCGCATGCACGTTTTACCCATATTCTATTGCGATATTTCATTTTCCTACCGTTGCCCAAAATTACACCGGTATTACCGTGAACGGTATGATATAGCCCAGCCCTACTGCCTTGTATTGACAATTCAGGCTGGTGGTGTTGTATTGATAAGGGGGATATTTTCTTGGCACACACGCTCCTTAGTACCAAGTTAGTATTGTTAAACACTACAGCCTACCTGATTATTGTTGCTACCCATGTCCATCCTTTTATGACCACAGTGTGCCCCTCTTCTGTCATATCCCAAAGCTCAAATCATTTCAAATTTGGTTTCTTGAACATAACAGTGAGTTCACTGTACTCAAATGACCTCCACAATAACCAGATCTCTATCCAACACAGCACCTTTGGGATGTGGTGGAACAGGAAATTCACATCATGGATGTGCAGCTGACAAATCTGTCATGACAATAAGGACCAAAATCTCTGAGGAATGTTTCCAGCAGATATTTTAATTCTAAGCCATTAAGCCAAGCTGGTACTTGCAACGTGCACCTAATGAAGTGGCCAGTGAGTGTACATATACATTAAGTAGCCACAACAATGGCGAATGGTGAATGGCCTGTATTTGTATAGCGCTTTTCTAGTCCCTAAGGACCCCAAAGCGCTTTACACGTTCAGTCATCCACCCATTCACACACACATTCACTCACTGGTGATGGTAAGCTACATTGTAGCCACAGCCACCCTGGGGCGCACTGACAGCCATTAGTTCTACAACAGTAAAACTAATGGCTGACAGCTTTCATATAATTTATGTTATTATTGTTAAACTTTTCAGCAAACTATTTCACCAGCTAGTGAGCGAGTTAACAGGAAGCCACCGCTTGACACACACATTGCTTACAGCATAGAATTGAACACAGTCAGAGACACTTTGCTGGACAAGCTCTCTTGTTGCTTTATGGCATTAAACGCCCACACAGCCACGTGCGCGTGCACACACAGCACACACACACACACACACACACACACACACACTGTTTGTACTGTTGAAATAGCCAAGGCCTCTTAAAAAGACAAATATAATGCAAGTTCCCAGTGATGACACTTTTTTCCCTTATGTGGATTTAAGCTGAAAATCCTATTCTGAAAACATGCTTTGAAGTCCCGTGTGCTCCTCCCAAACTTCCCCGAACCCCCACACATTCCTCCCACCATCCACCTTTTAATGCACTGTTAAATATAAAACTGAGCATGACTTGTCTGTAATAGCTATGGCTTTTCATACCTGCAGCCAGTCAGTAAGCACTGGCTGGAAAAACATACAGGACATTTTGGACAAGAATGGTCTGGTCTGTTGGTCTCTCATGACAAGGATCTGTTTGTGATCGGTGGATGTAAATCTTCTTTTACCAGTCAGGCAATGTTTCTGTGCACTGACTGAATGAGGCAACTCCATTATGAAAACATTAAAGCCACGTCCTATGCTGTTTGATCCCACCTCAGACTAGCTCACTGGCTCCATACAGCCGTGTGTGGTGGGAATATAAATTTACCTCAGCAGAACATATTTAATGCAGTGAGTTACCGTTTTATTAGATACACCTGTGTGATCTAGTGCAGTACGACATAATTGTCCGTCAATAAATTGTGTAGTGTAATGTTTATGAGATTCAGTGTTTTTGATGTTTGTGAAAGTGGTATTTGAGCATATGCTTAGTGTTTTTGGTGCGCGCAGTATGTTACGAGTCTGACCGGTGTGAGCTGTGAGATTTAGTTTATATGTGAACGGCCTTGAATATGAGCATGGATTTTTAGGAAGAAAGCCATGGCAAACGGCGCTGGCCGTTTACCGAGGTGTGGGAAATACTAAAAGTTCAGGAAATCCATTGCACTTAGTCTCAACTTGTATTGAGACTATGGTTTTCTAAGAAAGTGCATCTAGATTGTTAAATATAAGCGTATGTGATTTAGGCTTAATACATTACGGATGGACAACAAATGCATTTGGTACCAACAATTTGTAATTTGTTGCACTCATATGTGTCCTTCTCTGGATACTTTCAAATCAAATCACTTTTATTGTCACATCACATGTGCAGGTACACTGGTACAGTACATGCGAGTGAAATTCTTGTGTGCGAGCTTCACAAGCAACAGAGTTGTGCAAAAATACAATAACATAAAACAAGCAAAATATAAGAATGGCTAAATCTGAGACTAATAGACATATGTACAATATATAATAGTTTTGATATTTGTAGAGGAATTTCTGTTTTAGATCTGTGGGGTTCTGGCTGGAATCTGATTGTAAACAGTTAGTGCAAAGTTTTGTGTATGTAGACAATAAAAGATTTGCAATTTTCACCAATGTATCACAGTTAACCGCCGCATTATCACAGTTACACGTGTCATTTCCAACTTGGCCCCATCCAGTCGCAAACTGGTAGCAGACTGAATCTGTCTTATTGCTGTTGTATCGCTGTCTTGATGCACCAAAGTAACTCAGAAGATAGCAGCTGTAACTGAGTTGTTTGCTGACCCGGTCCGAGTCCATTTCATCCGTTTCAAAGGCGCACAGTCGCAGTCGTTTATGATCGTGTTGCTGAATCTAGCCACTATTTGGCCTAGTGTGACCTTAGCATAAAGTACCACATAGGTGAATTTCAAAGTCAGTCAGTTACCCGATGATGGGAGTGCTGTTTGTACTATTTATTTAAAAAATGGAACGCTACTGTTTAAGACATACCATGAGCAGTTCCTTATCCAGGCACAGTATTAAGCTGCAGCTTGTGTTTTGGACCAGTCTGTGAGCACTGTAGTGAGGTATTTAAAATGCTGAAAAAAAACACAGACTTACAGCAAAAGGTAAGAGTCAAACATGAGCTGTTACATTGAATCTACAGACTGCGAGGTTTGTACGGGTAAAGCACCTTCTTCGTAGTCAACCCATGTTGCCCTTTGACTTTGCCGGCATGCAGAAACTTTTCTCGTAATCTTGTCCGGCTCTGCTATTCCGTGGCTGTCTGGGTTAGGTCTGGGAAATCACAGTGACATCACTTCCCCGTAATCCTTAAAGCATAGTTGGAAATTTACCCAGGTTTAAAGTGTTATACACGCCACATGCCATTAAGCTGGTGGCAGCTTAACGAACATCTCAGCTTTCACACCAAGCTCATCCTCCTGCTAATCTACTGACTGCATTACTAAAAATGCAGAATGTTTTTTTTTTTCCCCTTGTGGAACAATGAGTGGCAGCTGAGAAACTTCCCTGCAAGCTGCCATTGCTTTAAGTAACTTAGCTTATACATATGTGCACACTTACAGGGGAAAATGTGGAAAATGTCCTGCTAAAGTCCTGCTAATCCTACAGCGCGCTCTAGCAGTGCTTAGCATTAAGAGGGCTGGGCCTTTATTTGGAAATTCAATTAAATGTCGACTGATGAGTCAGGTTACGCTATACATAGGCCTAAGTCTTGTAATTATGGAACATACTGACAGACTGACTAAAATACCCAGGCTTTCTTCTGCAGTTTGTGCGTCCATGCCGTCTACAAACTACCCGTCCCCCCCTTGGTACCTGACCTGAGGGATTGGCAGTGTGTTAGTGTCAAGCAGTACCATTCTAATGGTCACAATTCCTTGACTGAAGATCAGTACGCTTTGGTTTCTGATGCCATAATGATGCAGTCTCTCTATTCTAAGACCCTTAGGATGGAGCTTGAGCTCACAGCCTGTGACTTAGAGGGCCGTAGCCTGCCTTATCTGATCGCTTTTCAAAGCTAAAAAAAAAAAAAAAAGTAACCTAGTGAGTCTTAGTATTTTTTAAAGGGACTAGTTCAGTATGGCGCTTCAGGCTAGAAGATATAAAGGATCTGCAGTGTTCCAAGATGATGAAGTTACTGCTCAGCTTTTGAGTTTGCGTATTTGATGAGTAGTAGTGTTTACTTACTCTGTATTCAGAGCTGCGGTTTATTTATTTATTTATTTCCCCACATGTCAGATTCGAATTTTAGCCAAAGTTTTTATCCGGCCTTACAATCTGGACAGACTACAGTAAATTAACTTCTTGTCAGACTGTGGAAATGGCATCTAGCTGCTCCTGAGCAGATAGTGCAGCGCTGTATACCGACTATCCTAGAGCATCTGTGTTTACTGAGGATGAAAGACGCACCGGGACATTGTACATCTCAAGCGCGATGAAGGAAATGCACAATTGCAACCTTGCTTTGTGGAGCCTAAACAGTTAGCAGCCGATTTGTGAACACGTCCCCCCCCCGAGGGAAAAGGCCCTGACCCCGCGATGGTTTCCCTTTCTCGTACCCGTCCTCGCTTTCTTTCCTCCGTCTCTCTCTCTTTCTCTAGCCTCTCATCCTTTCAAGAGCGAAGTGTCAAAAAACATGGCATCTTACAGCGCTCGCTACAACTCTGAAGAAGAGAAAAGGGAAAAAGCTGTACCACCCAGTTGGGCTGATTGAAGCCGTCTCAAAAGCCTTAGGTGTACGACATTCCTCCTCCTCCTTCCTTCACCGACGCCTTTTATAAACAAGTTTCAGACACCCCTGATCTAGTTTGGCAAACTTTCTCCAAAGAGCATTTGAACAGAGGATGAGAAAGTGACACCCCCACACGTTCTTTTTTTGGGGAGTAGAGGGGACGGGGGGAGGGCAGAATCAGGTCTCTACTAACTCCTTTGCTTTTCAATCACTGCTACCTCTCTCCCCATCTCTCCCTCTGTCTTTTCTTACCCCCTCCTTTTCTTTTGCCTTTTCCTTTCTTCTCTGACACGTCTCCTGTGGTCCCCTCAATTGCACAAGAAATGGCAGTAAATCAAGGAAAAAAGAAGCAGAATACTTAACAGAGCTTTGTCAAGGATACAGTGTCTAAGTGTAGCTGAAATACAATAATGAGGAGAATCGTCTAGAAGGCAATTCAAGTATTTTAGTTGGAATTTTATTTTTAACACGGCTCTCAATGTAAAGTGAATTGCCGACATGTATTTATAATTTTTTATATGTTCAGTATGTTGTTGGTGTTTTTATTGTATTGTATGTGTACACTTAAACACCTGTGTAGTTAAATCATGTCTGTACTCAGACATCACAGTTACTTCCCTTTGATTCTCACCAAGAGGGAAGGTCTAATGTGGTTTGAGTGTGACAAGTAATGTTGTGGGAATTTTCTGCTTAATAGTTTTCGATGACTAGAACAAACAAGATCTAGCCCTGGGACGTTATAACTGCTGACATAGTCATACACACAGCCGCACTTTCAAAGGAGGAACACTGTCACCCTGCTTTAGGGTTGATTAAGACACCAGAACAGACAGTGACTAAACATGAGTAGGGACATCAAAGGAAATGGTCAGTCATCTTTGTGTCAAAGACTTTCTTTGTGCCTCCGTCTGTTGTTGTGTGTTGTTGGCACTTAACGGCAATCTAACTAGGAAAATCTGAGAAATACTTTTTCCAAAGGTGGAATAAAAATAGCATTATTATTCCATGACATGTGACGGATTGACGTCAGCCTTTGCAAGGTCATCCTGTCTACCAGAAAGGGAGGGGGAAAAGAGAGACAAATCTGTATGGTTGTTGCACCAGGAAGGTTGTAAAAATCTGCCAAATCAAACATGTAAAGTTACCTGCTGTAGTGACCCCTTGTAAATAAGGGAGTAGCCAAAAGTTGCTAATTATAGAAAATTCTGGTTTGTTTGAGTAATGAAGGTCCTCTTCATTACTTATCCAGCCAGTTTATGTTTACACATGTTTAATTTTAACGCTCAAAAAAAGAGGTTTGATATGTTTTATTGGTTATGTATTTTGTGGGTTTGTTCTTATTGGCAGCCTCCAAGCTGGTACTGGTGAAGGCCTGGGAACAGAAATCTTTATTCGCAGAAAATATTACTTTAGCATTAAACTTATGTGTATTCTAATGGGTAGGAGGACCCGAAATTTGGAAAAATAGGCAAGTGTAAAGATTTGAGCAAGTTTGAAACAGCCAAATTAAATGGCTGAATAAACTGGGTCAGAGCATCTCCAAAACTGCAGCTTATATTTGGTGTTCCTGGTCTGCAGTGGTCAGTATCTATTAAAAGTGGTCCAACAGTGGTGAACCAGCGACGGGGTCATGGGCAGCCAAGGCTCACTGCAGCACGTGATGAACGAGGGCTTTCCTGCACAGTGCAGTCGAACAGACGAGCTATTATAGCTCAAATTGCTGAAAAGGTTAATGCTGGTTATGATGGAAATGTGTTAGTTTGTTGTGTGTGGGGCTGCATAGCTGCTAACCCCAGAGTATCCAAATTGGATGGAGCAACAGAAGAAGGTGGCCTGGTCTGATCGATGACATTTCCTTTTATATCACATGGATGGGCCAGGTGTGTCACTTACCTGGGTAATGTTCTGATATCCATGTGAATGGGAGGAGTTGGTGGATGTAAGCTAAATTTTAATAGATTGTTAACACAGGCCCAATCCACGTCCTTATAAAGTCTTCAACAAATGAATTCAAAGCTTTTTGAGCTATACTGTTTACAGACAGAATGACACGCACACGAACACTACCAAAAACATAACCTCCATCTCTTTGGTAATTATTAGTGAGTGTTTTCATAAAAACGATGATCACTGTTACTAGTGGCAGCTAAATAGTGGTAGGATACAGTGTGTTTTGGACCACAGATGCACAGGTCAAAAGCTGTAAGTACAAATTCCTTAATACTGTAAGGCTTAGAGTATTATCTGCTCATACTTTCACATCTTATTGGTAAGACTAGGCTGTGGATCAAAAAGTGTCCTCTTCTTTTTTTTCTGTTTTTTTTCTTAGCTTTGAAAGTGTGTAAAAAGCACATTTATATCTTTATAAAGCTGAGACAGCTTTATAATTCAGTCAATTCTTAGCTTAAGTTTAAGCCACTAAATATTTAGAAACCACGTTTTGTCAAAAAGCTGTCATTTTGTAGCTTTGTCTCTCTCCAGACAGATGTAGTTGTGTGATGATTAATGGCTCTTTGAAGATGAAAAACACAGAGATTTTTTTTCTTCTTCTCTTTTTTTGTTTGAGTCAATTACAGAAAGTGACGAATCATTAGGGTTTTGTTTTACGGTGTGTGAACGTCCTCTAGCTCCAGGAGATTTGTTCCAACATGCTCGTGACAACGTTGAACTTTTGATCCTTTTGAAAACAGTGTTTGAATGAAAACAGCCTTTCCCTGCATGATTAACTTTGGATAAATACACACAAACAGGTTTTTACTTACTAGAGTAGAGCAGGGCGATATGACCAAAAATATTACCAAAACATGTGCGTATGTAAACAAAGGTACTGCGCATGCGCGTTTTACCCATATTCTATTGCGATATTTCATTTTCCTATCGTTGCCCAAAATTACACCGGTATTACCATGAACGGTATGATATAGCCCAGCCCTAACACAGAGATAAGCAGCACAAACAGTTGGGCACATTTGAAGCTCTCTGTGTGTGGAAAAATCTTTTCTTTTCTTTTTTTTTTTGAAAGGTTTAATGTGGTTTTATTTGATCATCAGCTGCACTTGTTTGGGAGATGCTGTACACTGTATCATCCGGATTTATGTTACCTTTGACAGACAGGCTCTGTTATTCCGTGTCGTGTCTGTAAAACAGTTGGGACACAGATTTTAGTGGTTAACAAAATATCTTGCCCATAATATTTGGTGGTAGGGTGACAAAAGTTTAATCACTGTGTTAAACGTGTTGTAAATGTTACATATGGCATTTGGTTCTCTTTGTTCTCAGACCGAGATGAAGATCAAAGTGTTGGAGGCCAAGCACCAGGAGGAAAAACTGAAGATGCAGCAGAGACACGATGCAGAGGTTGAGAAAGTAAGAACAAAAGCTTTTGCATATTTCACAGTCCTTGCTTAGTGTGTACTTTGTAAATAAATCAATTATTGTAACTTTCCAGCTGTTTGGATATTTTTAATTATGGCAGTTATTGACCTGTGTTTAGCTAGCTTTTATAGGGAAGTGACAAACATGCATTCCCTGGACACTTGGGTTGGACACCCTTGCTTTCATAACTGCCGTAATGCTTTGTGGCTTAGATTCAACAAGGTGCTGGAAACATTCCTGAGAGATTTTGATTCATATTGACACTGACAGACTATTTGAGTACAATTAAGTCTTTGTCCTGTTCAGCAAACCAGTTTGAGAACTGAGCTTTGTGACATGGAACATTATCCTGCTGGAAGCAGCATTCAGAAGATTGGTACACCATGGTCCTAAAGGGATGGACATGGTCAGCAACAATACTCATCTATGCTGTGGGGTTTAGTGGTCAGTTGTCACCACCACCACCAATCTGAATTGTTCATACAATGTTTGATGGATTCATGCTTTTGTGTTCTCCATGTCCAAACTCTGATCTCACCACCTAAATGTTGCAGAAGAAACTGAGATTCCTCAGACCAAGGCAACATTTTTCCAATCTTCTGTGGTCCAATTTTGGTCAGCCTGTGTAAACAGTAGCCTCGTGGTCTTCTGCTGCTGTAGCCCATCTGCTTCAAGGTTCAGTGTGTTGTGATTTCAGAAATGCTCTTGTTCATACTTTGGTTATAACTAGTGGTTATTTGAGTCTGGCCATCTTTCCTTGACTTTTGACATTAACACGGTATTTCTAACCAAAAAAATGCTGCTCACAGGATATTTTCTTCTTTTTTTTTTTCTTTTTTCTTTTTGGACTATTCTCTGCAAATCATAGAGATTGTTTAATGGGACAATCCCAGCAAATCATCGGCTTCTGAAAAGCTTCTTCTTCTGAAAGCTTCTGAAAGACCAGCCCATTTGCTACCGATAATCATATCACATTTAACATCATTTAAGCTAATGAAGTGGCTGGTGAGTGTATGTAGCAAACAATAGTTGACTTTTGGCTGTGGGGTTATCCTCGTAACAGCATAAACAGCGAATAAAAACATACTTTTACATTATTCTGTTAACTTAGACCAGCATCCAATAGCAGTTTATTTCTGCACTACACGTCCAGACATCTAGATAGGGACCTTTAGTGAACATGGCTAAATCTCCTTTTTAAATGTATTTGTTATGGTCACCTCTTTAGATAACTTTTAATTATATAAAGTTGGTGCTAATATAATGCCCTCTACATGAGTGAAAATAGTTTGTGCAGTTCTTTTCTCGACAGGCCCGCTCACTTCGGTGCTCAGGAGAGCTGTTTAACCTACGCCCGTCACTGATCTTGATTCTCATTTGGTGGCTAATGAAAAGTAAAGGAATGAGTCTGTCCTCTTCTTAGCGCTCCATCCTGCATGTAATCACTTCTTCAAAGCTTTTTGTCAGCTGGTTAAAATAGCAATAAAGCTGGTTTATTTCACACTACAGTCGGTGCCCGTCAGTTAGGCTGCAGATCAAGCACCTGGGATCTGTCACGTACTCACTATGACTTTCCTTTGCTGCCACACAAGCTTCTAATAAAACAGAAAAAAACACTCTACTTTTCTTCCTTCTTTAAAATGTCCATTGCGTCTTAGTGTTTGACAAGAGACAGGATGACAGCCAGCTCTTTTTTTGCCCCCCCTTCTCTCTTTAATTACATACAGATTGCAACTTATGTCCAATTTAATTTCCACTGAATGTTACCCAATATTCCCCATAATGGCTTCAAAGGGGAGTTATTCAGGGGTGGACTTTGATGAGCCGGATGGAAAGTGGACAAGCTAGGTTTAGTTTTAATTAGTCTACTTATAAATAATGTATAGGCTGCTGAAAGGCTACGAGTCGTTGTCCCACTGCTTTAAATCCGAAGCATGGTGAGAGTAGTTCCAAAATATTTGATAAAATCAAGCGCAGAAGAACATCTTATGTTATTAACATGCAAATCTCCGTTTACTGTACAATATGTTATAAATGGCGCTGAGATTAAATTACATATGTTACAGATTCCGTTGGTTCTTTCTTCTGCAGTTTAATTTTGTCCTCTTCCAGTGATGGTATTGGTCAAAGCCAGCCAGGCTGGATCCCCTTCCCCCCGCATAGGATGTATTTTCAATCCTAAAATGGACATCCTAAAAGCTGCCATTTCCCACTGTCTGGTGCACTCTCCCTGGAACTGACACTGTGTCATCGGCTTGTTCAGTGGAAATGACAACAACGCCTCTGGGGTAGTAAAATGGGGGGAAAAAAATGGGTATCCTAAATGCTCTGTGAACTTTGCTCCAGTCACCCTATCCTCCTTTCATCTCTCTCCCATCACACTCTCACTCACAGAGACGATGGTAGACTGGACTAATAAGTGCACTTAAATTGAACAAAATGCTAAAGTCTCATGGGCTTCGGGAATTAATGGAAAAATAACCACTGGTCCATTTCAGCCAGAGCATCATCTGTTGTTGAAATAACGCTATTTATTCCCTTTTGTTAATGGCATTACTCCCAAACCTAAAAATACAGCCCAAAAAATCCATTAAGCTTATAGATAGGTTCAGAATGATATTTCAAGTAGATGATTTGATATCACTACCAGAGCTGAATTCGATAAAATGAGACTTGGATTGTTGAGTTTGGATTCATTTTGTCTGTAAAGTAAACCAGTCTGCTTGGCACCATCTGCATAGCAGATAGAGTCACCAGTTGCAGAATGCACTTACATATATATGCATATTATGCAACAGAGTAATTGAGAAACTCTCCATGGCCTAATTTAACTAATTACTTACAGATGGCAGCAGGAAGCAGATGCAGTTACCTCATCGCGCCTTAGCACAGGTGGTTCATTCAGCTGCCATTTCTCACACTTTGCACGTAGTCTCCTAAGTAATGGATGCGCTTATTAAAGATGAAATGAATGAAGTCATACAGTGAAATGCCGTACAGCGTGTTTCGTGTTGCTACAGATAACAGCCTTTAATTTAGGCATGCATGAGATAAACACATGATTCATAGCAGACGAACAATCTCTTTTTCTGTCTTTTTAAAAAATGAAATTAATAATAAATTTACATTAGCATCCATAAACAGATGACTTAAGCGTCACCACTGTTAAGCTAGTATGGCGTTAAATTCCCTCGTTTTTTGTATCTTCTTATCAGGGTTGCAGTGTGGCTTTATGTGTGGTTTATCTCAGCTGTCATTGGGCAAAAGTAGCCTGTCTCTGGACAGGGTGCCAGTCTCATGTACAGATAATCATTCTTTTTTCATATTCACCCCAACAGTCAATTTATAATCAGCAATTAACCTAAAATGTAGTCATGGAAAAAAAAAAATTCATAGGGCTCTATGCAAACATGTAGGAAAATGAGCTTGAAACAATGGTTTTCTGTCTGATTTTATTAGTCTCGCACATTGTTGCGAATGTATTCTGACAAACTCTTCTTTACATCGTTACTTCAGTTCATCGAGGTTTGCAGGCCTTCATTTATGCACACCTGTCTTAAGGTCCCACCACAGTCTAATCTTTGATTGGGTCATTGCAACGCCTCAAGTCTTTTCTTTTTCAAACATTTTGTTGTAGATTTGCTTCTGTACTTAGGATCACTGTTGTCTCAGAACAGAGTTTCAGCCAAGCTTGAGCTGTCGGACAGATAGCGTCACATTTGCCTCGAGGATACTTTGGTTCATGGTGGCTGCACTATGTGCCCTGATCCTATGGCTGAAAAACAAGCTTCTACCGTGCTTTGCAGTTGGTATGAAGTGTTTGTGCTGATATGCTGTTTGGCCAAACGTAGGTATCGCAGTATTGACCAGTATTGTGTGGTCTGACCTTCCTGGGAAGATTATGGCATTGTTTTAACACACATCTGAATGCTCCAGATCAGCAAACTGCTAAAACCTTGATAAAGGTGATGACACTTGCTAGTGGTCAGTCATACAAATGTATTTGAGTGGCAGCACCTGGCTGTCTCTGGGAAGATGCCAGAGTACCTGAAAAGGACCTATGCAGGCACAGGAAGAACATGCAAACTCCACAGTCCAGCGGATTCAAACACATGTTTACCTTGAGGAATATATTCATATATAAATATACATAATTTTTTTTCTTAAACCTTTTGATGTATTAATGTTCATATTCATGTTTACTTCCTACGTGACCCCTACCTATAAGAGTAGTAATAGTAGTAGTAGAGTCTGAATACTTTCAGCTGCATGTGCTGTTATGTGTTTTCGTGTGTGTGTGTGGGGGGGGGTATACATGAGCTCACAAAGCAAGAAACTCTGCACAAAAAATAAAATAAAATAAAAAATCTTCTTTAGTGTTACTGGTTGTCAAAAACTCCAGGGTCTCTGCGCTGTCTTTGAGTGTGGGCGGTTGCATTTTCCTTTTTTATATCTGGGTCACATAGTGCATACTTAAATTTAGCCTTTGTGAACTTTGCATGCGAAAACTTTAATAGCTTTAGCTTTGCTATGACAGATGCCATTTTCTTGGCAGTAAGAGAAAAAACAGCCGAATACACTTTCAGTGACTCCCTCTCCATCTGTAGATTCTGGACCGAAAAAATGGTGAGATTGAGGAGATGAAGAGCCTTCACCGGACCAGGCAGAAAGAATCAGAGGAGACGATCCGTAAGCTGGAGAAGAAAGGTGAGAGGTCACGTGATTGCGGGGTTAACATGAAGGATGTTTATACTTGTGTCTCTGCCACTCGGAGTAAAAAGCCTAAAAAGATTCAATTCCACAAAGGATTGCACTGGTGTAGAGTGACACTCTCCAGCTGTGCTGCTCAATCTATAAATTCAGTCACCTTATGTGTCTTTTTATACTTGATTTCCCTCTTTTTGGTCCTGTTCCTTTCTTTTCTCACGTGTCTGCTTTAAGAGTGTCTGATGATAAAACTGCGTCGCACAGAAGAAATAGTAGCCATTCAAATAGAAACAAAATCTTTACTGTCATTGATTTCCTGACAGCACATCAGTCGAGCACAAGTGTGCGTGCATGTCTGTTCATGTGTCCATCTGTTCATACCCTGAGGCAGGGCCTGACTGCTCTTTTGTGTGTTTTGTGTCTGCGCTCACCCGCAGTTCAAAGTGTGCTGCGGGAATCCCAGGTCATCTGCGAGAGCAAAGAGAAGCAGATTGCAGAGCTGAAGAAGATGTCGGATCAGAGCGCCGACTCTTTAAAAAATGAGTGGGAGAAGAAGGTACGAGGATAAGTTGAAGGGCTTAGAAATTCTACAGGCCAACGCCGTGTAAGCAGCCCTGAGCCAGAGGAAAACTGTTTGTTAGCATGAGACAAGCAGACTTTGCTTTAAGCAGCCAGGCTCTGCTGTACCTCATTCCTTCATGTGGTGCTTAAGTTAGTGTGGGTTTTTTCACTGCTGAAAAATTAATGCTCTGTGCCCTAGGTAAATTGTCTTTTCACTCCTACAGCTCCAGCTAGCTCAGCTGTGGGGGCTCAATAAGATGCTAATGAAATTTACACTCATCTCTTCAGGGTCGCTCAGCATGTGCTAAATGATGTTATAGAAACATTTTTTTCTCTCAGATCACATAAAAAAAATGTGTAGCATATGAATTATGTTTAACCCTGTTCAAAAAGAGATACTGCACATCTAAAGAAGCAGACAGTACTAACTCCACTCTTTGGAAGTATGCACTCACTGTCACTGTATTAGGTACACCTGTTCAACTTCATGAACATGGTCCATTATAGACATGGTCAAGACGGCCTGCTGAGTTCAAACTGAGCATCAGAATGGGGAGTAAAGGTGATTTAAGTGACTTTAAACAGCATGGTTGTTGGTGCAAGGCGGTGCCAGGGCTGATCTGAGTATTTCAGAAACTGTTGATCTACTTTTCCCACGCAACGATTTCTAGTGTTTACAGAGAATACATGATGCCAGAGCTCAAAGGAAAATGGCCATACTTGTATTATTAATATTTCAAGCTGTCGGTAGTTAGGGCTGTTCGATATAACGATATATATCGGATGACGATATAAAAACGTCTATCGTTTCATTTTATGCTATCGTTTGCTTCATGGTGTCGCAAAATAAACTCTTTACAGCAATATTTTTTTTCATCGTTTTGATGGTCACTGTAGTGGCTATATTAATTTCTTAAAGTTCTCTCTTTCTCTTATATTGAATATAACCACACTACGGACGGACAAGCGACTGTTTTTATGCGTTGTCGTTAGCAACAACGGCGGTAAAACCATCGCGTGTCCGCTTGTTTATGTTCCACGTAAACTTTTCACAATAAAGCTCATGATCCTGTTGAGACTTTTCAAAATAAACTGAATCACGTGAAAGAGCAGATTATTTACGGATGAGAAGTAAAAAAGAGCCGCCAGGTGCTAAAAAATAAACCTTAGACTCAAACGTTAGAACAGGCTTTTCCCTGCAGCACGCTGTGTAATAAATACTCACAAAACGGCGGCTGTTACAACTTATGTCTAAAAATGTATTATTTCATGCATCGGTTAAAACACTCGACTCCAGCTGCATGACGCGCAGCTGGAAACACTTCCCGCAAGACGAGCTGCCCGAGATTCACAGAATTTACAGAAAATGTTACACTTTTGTGATTTATATTGTTATCAAACGATAGAATTCTTATATCGGGATATGAGATTTTGGTCATATCGCACAGCCCTACCGGTAGTGGTGTAACTGGACAATGACAGTGGGATTCCCATTACAGATAAATCTTCAGCAGCTGTGTGATGCTATCATGTCAGCATGGACCAAAATCTGAGTAGTGTTTTCAGCACTTTGTTGAATCTATGCCATTAAGAATCAAAGCAGTTCTGAAGGCAAAGGTGGGGCCAAACTCATTATTAGCAAGGTGTACTTAATAAAGTGGCTGTTGAGTGTATGTATGTAACATTACAAGGTGTGACGTAAATGTAATTTTGTAACTGTTACCCAGAAGCCCAAAAGTTTCAGTCACTATATACTTTATAAACAAAGAAAGTATGACATGAAGGTCTGGTGGAAGTCTGAAGCTAAAAGCCCATTTGATGCTGCTTTTGACTGTGAGATATGAGATTTCTTCATCAGTCCACAAGTCCTTCATCGAGTGTTTTTAATATAATGAATTGGTTAGACAGATTTGTATCTGTCCAGGTTGTACCCTGCCTCTCGCCCAAAGACAGCTGGGATACGCTCCAGCCCCGCCGCGACCCTGAAAAGGATAAACGGCAGAGAATGGATGGAATTGATTAAAAAAAAAAAGTATTATGTGGTCTCTGATTGCTGAAAAGTGTTATTATACTTTTAAAAATTAAAAGAGAAATGATTGATCAGTCATCAATGACTGGAATCACGGCGAGGAACATCTGTGACTGACATGTAGATGTTTCACGCCCTTGCAGCTGCATGCTGCCGTGACAAAGATGGAGCAGGAGAAGTTTGAATTGCAGAAGAAACACACACAGAATATCCAGGAACTGCTGGAGGACACCAACGTCCGACTGGCTAAGATGGAGTCTGACTATAATGCACGGTCACAAGCAACTGTGAGTACAGAAACAGGCATGTGTGAGTCTGGATGTGTGTGTATGTGTCAGCTTTACTGCATTAATACAGCAGCTAAGATTAATCTTAATAATAATATTAGCTGAGTTTTTTTCTGGCTTTCTGTTAATCTGTGTACTATGTGCACAAACAGTATGTTGATGAAACACGTGGGTGTTACTCACCCATAGTTGTTGTGTTACTCTTATTAAACTGTATGCAATGACACCCAGTTCAATACTACACATGCTTGGATGTCTGATCACAGCAGCTCATCAGTCAAGTGTGCGACACTGCCTCGTATCGTCTTTCTACTTTTATAGTTAAGCAACCATTTCATGTTTTATTCCTGAAATGCACGTGTCACATTTTATAACACTGTTGACATGAGATGCGTAAGATGCTACAGTAGCTCAGATTGATATAGACGACTTCATCATCATTTTATTTATTTATTTATTTATTTAAGTCATCTTTTTACAAGTTAAATGAAAGGAAAAACAACACCATCTGCCTCTGGCTGTAGATTTGAGGTGTTGAGGATCAATTGCTCTGCACACTTCAGACAAAAAATAATTTTCTGGAGCAGCTTCTTTGAAATGTTGTGTTTGCGCTCAGTCTGTTGGTGTTTTTTGTTGCAGCTGCTGTGGGTTGCGTCTGCTGAGACCAATGATGTGATTTTCTGACATTGAATTATTAATCTCCACACCCTGATTTATGTTGGACCTCGTGTTGCTGCACATACCAAAGTAGCAGATGTGCTGGAAGACTCCCACTTAACCAGTGGTCCCGTGGATTTACAGATACAGTGTTGTGCAAAGGTTTTGAGCCACAAATATGTATTGTAACGTGCAAACATAAATGAATATACAGTATATAGGACAAAAACAGAGCTTGTACAATTCTAACAAGACTGAAAGAGAATATTTGGGATGAGCACCTGTGTTCTTCACCACAGCCTGAACTATCTAAAGCAGCTTTCCTGTCATTTCTTTAAGTTGTCTTCAGGAATAGTTCTCCAGGCTTCTTGAAGGACAGTCAAAGCTCTTTTTTGCATGTTGGCTGCCTTTTTTGTTCTCTGTCAAGATGATTGCACACTGCTTCAATAATGTTGAGGTCCAGGCTCTGGAGAAAGCAGTCCGTGACTGATGGTGCTCCACTCAGTGTTTTTCAATTTAGATATCCTTTTACTGCATTGGCAGCGTATTTGGTGTCACTGTCATAACAAAAAAAAGGAAGTTGTTGCCAATCATATAATATGGTATGATGGATCAAAATCTGACTGTACTTTTCTTGATTCATATTTACATCAGATTCGACAGGATCCCCAACACTAGGGCTGAAATACAGAATCTACACCATGTTTTACAGATGGCTGTGAAAACCTCTCTCATGACCTTGTCCATACATACTTATAACTGATTTTTATTTTTTTATTTTAATGGCTTCATCACTCCACAAGACCTGTTACTACTGATTTTCAGACACTTTTCTGGAATTTGGCAAATCTCAGCCATTTCTGTCTGTCTCCCTTCCTTCAGAATAGCTTTTTGTCAGCCACCCTTTCACAGAGACCACTTCTGATGACGGTTCAGTTAACAGTAGATGGATAAGATGAAGGGTCAGATACATCTCCCAGGTCCTTTGTCAGGTCTTGGCTGACATGACTTTCCGATACCGTTCACCTGCTTTGGACAGTTTTTAAGGCCTGACACTTCTTTTGTCCACTACTTGTCCAGTTTCCTCTTTTTTGCTACAGTTTTTTTTCCCACTAACTGAAGAAATGGAAACAAATGGTGTGACTGGCAGCAAGTAAATAAAGGGCCTAAAGATACTGTTGTTCTTTTGCTAAGTTGTCAGTTATGAGTAGACACGACACTGGATCATCCATTGAGTTAGGTGCTTTTTTTTAATACTTTAATGATTTGTAGGTCAGTGTTAAGTGACTTTAAGAACCAGAAAAAAAACCATTCCTCCAAAAATGGGTCAGGGATAGCGACTACACTGAAAATGAGTGACAAAGCACATTTCATAAGGTGGAACCATCAGCATCAGATGCCAAAGAAATACTTTAAAAGGCCAGTGTGATGGGCCGAGTTGAGCAGGAGGAGTCCTAAGAATTATTAGAAAAATAGGGTTTCCATTTATTTAACTCTAAAAATTATATTTACAAAAGTGATAAATGTTGAGCTCATAAAAGAGGTCAAAGAAACAAAACTTAACTCAGGCAAAGAACTGCAAACTTACCAAACCAAACAACTGCCCAAACAAACATAACTGACCTAAACAGGAAATGACACACAAGGTTATATATGATGGCTGATCAGATCACTATGGCATGCGAGGGGTAACTAAACAAAACACAATCATAAAGCACAAAAACCATGCAGTACAGGCTAGTTTGTTAATAAACTAAATACCAAAGAAGAACATCAAAACCACTGAACCCTAAACTCAAATATCTAATCAAATATAAAAGCTTTCCAAACCAATCAATAAACTTATTGGAAACTTAAGTGTGTTGTTGTGTTCAACTGAAGAAATGAAAATACACAAAAGTTACCAACTTGTGTGTGGCCATGGGTTTGGGCATCGCAAGCAGGCTTCTTGGAAGCAAAATGCGAAGAAAGGAGGAGTGGCTCAAGACTTGCACAGTAGTGTAAAACTCACATGATGAGCATATAAAACACAACATATTTAGTATTTTATTCTGGGTTAACTTAGTCACATTTTTGTGTCCATCAGTTACACAGTGAGTGTTTGTGTAAATCGAATTTAACTACCTGACTTGTCGTGTTTTCCCTTACTTTTTTTATTATTTATTTTTGTATGCACATGTTTGTTCCATCTGTCTGTGATCACGACTTATCCTTAAGATAGTGTGAGCAGCTTTCAGAGATTCATCCTAAAGAGCAGCAGGGGATGCAAGTGTTCAAACGCTTAGTGTAGGCAGATTATTTTCTATGCTCAGCACCACCTTTCACTGGAACAAACAGGATTCTCTGCGACTAGATTTACTTCTGCTAAAAACTCTTTCCTCAGTTAGTTCTAAATGTATATATCTGTCGCATGGCTAATCAGGGGGGGAAAAAAGGACCCACAACACTCGGTGGCTGAAATGAAAGGAGACATTCTCTAACCTCTGGCCAAGAATGACTCTCATACCTTGTGCCTGTCATCTTTAAAAAGGTCTTTGATCCAAGTATGTATTAAATCTTACCCATTGCCGTGATTGTGCTTGAAGATGTGCGTGCACACATGCGTACACACCTCCCAAAGCTGCACTTTCTTTGAAGTCTTATGAAAGGACTTTGGTTTAAGTGGGACTATGCACATTTCATTAGCTGGGACCGTCAACACCAGAGGCCAGTTGAATGCACGTGTTTCATAAATACAGTTTCTATCAGTATCAGTGTTCATGGGTTGCCATACACACACGTTGCCTCTGGCCTTAGTCTGTCAACAGGGCCACATTTAAGAGGCAGCAAATACTGAATGGTTCATGGTTGATTACCCCCCCCACCCCCACCCTATTTTTTTTTTTTAAATAATTAAGACCAGACAAGGTCCAAGAAATTGGGGGGAAAGGCCCCTGTCACTGTAACAGCTGCTGTCCTCCTGTAGTATTGGGCTATTCACAAACACAGCAATTCACAAACACACACACGAAGGATATGTGTTGAAGGTATTCTTTATCTCAGGTGAGTTGGTACAGCACCTTTTTGTCAGCGATTGTTGTCTCTGTGCTTGATCCTTTAGAGCTGGAGTTGCCTCATTTTGCCCCATGTTGACTTTCTTGAGTCTTTCAATATCCAGATGAATCTTCCTTTCAGTCCATACTCTTCATTAAATAGAAGTGAGCTCCAGTAATGCTGAACATGTGCTTTGTGCAGAAAATCACATAGTAGTTGTTTGTGGTCAGTGCTACTCCTCTACTAAATACACTGCTCAAAGAAATCAGAGTAACACTTTTTGATCAGAGTATAGTATTGAGTCGCTTAAACTTCTGGGATGTTATTCTGGTCAGTTAAAAAACAGAGAGGGTTATTAATCAGTTTCAGCTGCTTTAGTGTTGATGAAATTAACAACAGGTGCACTAGAGGAGCACCCCCCAAAACAGGAATGATTTTTACAGGAGGAGGCCATTGATATTTTTTTGTCTTCTTTCTATTTTTTTCCTAGTTGTGCATTTGGCTGTTGTGGGTGTCACTGCTGGTAAATGGACTGATTCTTATATAGCGCTTTTCTACTCAACTGTAGCGCTCACAGCACTTTATACAACATGCATAAGTCACACATTTATACAAGCACTTTTTTCTATGCTTAGCCTACCTGTGCTTTCTATCGAACAATCAAAGACAATGGTCCAAATTGAGTCCACGATGCCAGTGAACGCTCTTGGTGAACCCCAAGAGCATATCTCGGATACTTTGGCATGCAGACTGTAGCAGCCAGAGATCGAACCACCAACCATCCAGTTAGTAGATGACCTGCTCTACCTCCTGAGCAACAGCCACCAATACTAGAGGTAGACAAGGCTTGGACCATACGGAGGTTACAGTGGTAGTCCAACATCTTTCAATCTTCTGTACCCAGGCCTGTGCTTGTTACGGCACGCATGTGCCATTGCCAGGAAGTTCTATGTCTCCCCAGCATGAAGGCAATTCCAGGAGAAAGACAGTTACTCTAGGGTAGCTGGACAGGGTCATAGAAGTTCCTTAATCTATCAGGAGGACCGGTATCTGCTACCTTTGTACAAAGACGAACAGGATGAACACTGCCACACCAAACAATCAGAAGCAGGCTTCATGAAATTGGCCTGAGAGCCAGAGATCCTTTTGTGGGCCCTAGGCTGACTGCCTGGCACCAGTTAACCTAACATTAATGTGTTTGGAAACCACTGCGCCACTGTGCCGAAGAGATGTAGATCCTAAGTTTATATCCAGGACACAATATGAAAAGTTTGCTCACATCTCACGCAACACAAGCAATCCAGGACAACCTCAAGTCGATGATTCATTCCCTTGAAATACAGCAGACTGGATGCAGCTTAATAACAAATGAAATAAAGACTGTTCATCTGCCCACCGCTGCCTTGTGGAGTTTCTCTCCAACAGAGATCACAAAAAGATACTTCGGATCTTGTTTTTGGCTCTGAGCAGGGCAGAACAGGTAGAAGTGACTGAGTAGGTGTTTGAAAATAAAGACAAGCTTCTATCTGCACCAGCCAAGCTTTTAACAGTAGTCCGTGCACGTCCAAACCAAGTAAAGATAGAGATGCATTTGTAGCAGTGCCACATTGTCTCCACTGCTGATATTCCACTGATTGAATGGGCCTTTCCTATATATAGGATATAATTAATAACACTGTTTTAGACAAATACAGAATAACTGGTTTCTGAAAATGGCACTAAACCTTTTAAAAAAGCATTTGCTGGACACTTATTCCTCAAGCTTACTATTTCCCCCTTACTCTATCCTCTTCCTTTAATAGTGTTTGCTTATTATATATATGTATTATAGTGATGTTTTTATGAGGACTTTTGTAAGTCTAACCAAATTCTATTATTAGAATTTGAACCACAATATGCGTGGCCTCAGGAGACGAGTGATGATACAGGCTGCCTTCCAGTTGCAGGCTGTAGTTCAGATACAAATATTGTGAAAGGTCGTCCATCACTTTTTATGACTTTTTTTGTCAGAGCTTACATGTTTTGTTTTGTTTTGTTCTCCCCCCCCCCCCTTCAAAGGCTTAATCATTTCAAAATCTTCGAAGAGGAGCGTAGCTCATAATCTAGTTAAGTCTGCACTTCACACAAAGTCATTCTCCTTCTAAAACACCTAATTAGGGGACATATTTTGGCCCCACTGAGGGTCCAGGTGTGCCAAGTCAGGCTTCAGTATGGAGACGTGTCTTCTCATCTCCTGCCAGAAAGCTAAGTGTCAGCACGCGTCCCAGCACAACACAGACTCCTTGTTCCTTTTCTTAACGCCCTACACTGCTAACACAAAGACAAAGGTCTCTCTCAGCAGCCTTGCCGGGCGCAGCTCGCATACTCTTTTCAAACGCACCATTCCCCGCCTTTCCCGTCACTCCACCTTCAGTCATCGCAATCTTCTGTCATCATCTAGATCAACAAGCACGCTCCGTCTTTAATCAGCGCCCCGTCATCGCCTTTATCGGCCCGCCTACACTGCATTCCACGCTGTCATGTGTACATACACGCACACAAAGACACATATGTGCATGTTGATGGACAGTAGGCAGGGAAGGGAAGTTCTTTTTAATCAAAACAGTGTAGGAAGAAGCTGTCTGTTTAGGCTGGACTTTGATCATTGTCTTCTGAAAGTCTGAATCTTGATCAAGTTTTTGACAGTGGAAAAGAGACTGAAATACCTCAACGCTGTCATTGTGTATGCTGGAGTCATTTGATCTGATGCAGGATCACCATGTTCAGATATTTAAATCGATGAAGTTACAGGCTTTTTATGATGCCCTATGTTGATGTTCCAGCACTTTACTGCCACCAGCGTTAAATGTCAGTAATTTAAGAGATGTGGCTAGACTTTGAAATTGCCAGTAATATCAGGCACTTTTCACACACTGACCCATCTAACAACTGATTATTGTCTGTTACTGGAATTGTGGAAATAAAATGCAGCCTGTGCAGTTTGCTATTATGAAAGCATTCATTAACTTTTACATTTTCAGCTGGTATCACTATGAGTTTATTCTTATGTCTCAATTTGGGTATTAAGTTTAAACAGTAGCCAGAATGTAACAGAGCAACAACAGCTGACTAGAAACATGTGCATCTGAGCTTTTTTTGGTTTTTGTTCTTAACTTGAGTCTTCGAATGCTTATAATGACAGTAAAGGTTATCTCGTCTTTTCTCTTACAAAGGGGTCTTCTAAAAGTTTGCCATGTGGAGTAGGGAAGGATTTTCAGCTACAAATTTTAGTAGCATGTAATAGTATCGCACATTTTTGGAGTAATTATCATTTATTGTCAATGAGTGAAGTGAGAGGATCAGTCAGCTGCACCGTTAGCCACATGTTAGCTTCGATACGTTCATATCAGTGACCTGATTTCTGTGGAGCATGCGATCCTCTGACTTATGCTCATTTTCCCGTGCTGACGCCCTTGGTGGTTCAAGCTGTTTGATTTAGTAACAACTTGTGTGTCCAGGAGCAAACGATGAGAGAGCTCGAGCTCCGGGTGAAACAGCAGTCAGCAGAAGTGGAGAAGGGCAACACGCTGCGTCAGAAAGTGACACAGGAGAAGGCTGAGCTGGAGATCCACATTGCATCTATCAGCACTGAACTCCAGGAGGCCAACAGACGGTATGAACCTGTTTGGCGTGTGGTATAGGGGTGGATTGAAAGATAAAGAGGAGAAGAGTAGCTAGTGCTAATATTGAAAGCTTTTCAACACTAACCAGCTTTTCATGACTAGGTTTTACTGCCATGTGCTATTTAATTTAAATGTCTTCTTCACATCTTAAGAAATCTTTATATAATCTATTGCTAGTGTGCAGCGGATGGACAGTAAAAATGGTGTCTGAATAGAAACGGATCTGTATGTGTGAAACTCTTTCATGAAGTCTGAGTCAAGCTGTTAGCTTTTCACAGGATTATGATCCTGCAGAAGGAGAAGGAGGAGCTGAGCGAGCAGCATGAGCAGGCCACGCAGAAGCTCCAAGTCAAGTACGAGACCGACTTGAGCCACTTGCACCATGAGCATGCTCTCTCCGCTGCTAAGGTTCACATTACCACAACACACTCACACGTATCTCCCTCGGCCTGCTAAATTTTGCTGCTGACTGATTAATAACACACAACTTTTAGCAAATCTCTCCACTCTCTTTTGCAGGCCTCTGAGGTGATGGCAGATTTAGAGAAAACTGTGGCTCAGATCAAACAGCAGCTCGAGGACAGTGAACATCGAAGACACCAACAAGTCAGGGTATGATATGATTCGGGTGGCGACGCTCATCTTAAACCTCTCTGTCGTCACTGCAACAATACGAGCTTTAAAAGTGCTTGTCATTAGCAGCTCTCTCTGACCTATTGATTCGACTCTGCTTCCTTTCAGGATCAAGAGATGAAGTTTCAGCAGGAAAAAGATGAACTGCTGATCAGCTGTGAGAAAAAGGTAGTGTGTTCCTGTTCCATGAGGAAAAATCCATCTGCCAAGCTCAGTAACCTCCTGTCATTATATCAAAACCACCCCTGAACAAAGTGATTAGTGGAGATCAAAGCTTGGAGCCGCATGTTCCTCATGGTTCTCTGCTCTTGTAAAATCCTAAAAGCCTCAGTTAACAGGTAGATGTTAGGCTAACGCAAAGGAAGGCAGGATGGTAAGTTGGTCATTTAGAACAAGAATTATTAAGTTGTAAAAATAAGAAACAAGTTGGAAGCAAATTGAAATAAACATTTTTTTTTT